TACATTTTTATCAGTTTGTAGATTACAACTTTTTAAAAAAGAACATAATACCATTAAATCGGCTAGCATTAATTAATGCATACTAACTTTTCAGCATTATACTTTTCAAGAAAATGACCTTGAATGCTTAATTATACTGTTTATCTAATATTGCTGTTAGCCTAATGCTATTAATAAAAAAAAAATACTAAATATAAAAAAAGAAATAAAAGAAGACAAGTTTTTAATATTTATCTGGCATCTATAGCATTGTGCTGCTTCGTATTTATAATTCACTATTACCTAGGAATAAAACTTATTAGATACTGCAATTCAAGCAGTGAACAATCAAAATCATGAATAATAACACCCTGGCATTACTAACCTAAAAAATTTCACTATCTCAAACTTTACAAATCCTAAACGCTAATAGCGAAATTTTTTAGGCTAGTGATGCCTAATAATCATAATATTGATAGCTTGTCACACGTTTTCAAAGTTAGATTTAAACAATATAAATAATTCCTAGCGCTAGTTCAGAATTATACATCGTAATTTAAAATACAGCATCACTATAAATTATATCCTATCATTCTCTTGCTGCTTACATGTGCGTGCATTATGTCCTACCTCACCACATACATTACATACATATTTTCTTTTGCTCTCTTCTATAGCATAACTATTATTTAAACTAATATTTGATAAAGATATCCTTAAATTAGAATCCGGGGTTAATTGTATGATTACTATGTGCTTGTCCTTTATAACCTTGAGCTTCAGAAGAACTTTTTAATTTTTTTGTTGGTGGTCGCCCACGACATTTTGTAACTAAAGAGTCATTCACAACTATATGCTCAAGTTGATTGAGTTGAGTACTTTTGTTATCAATACCTTCAAACAAAGACTTTTTTGATCAACAAACTGAGTAATCATGCTATTTAATTCTTCCTCACACCCAAGGTCCAAAGCAAAGTTAAGTGCTTTTTTCATTTTGCCAAATCCGTTAGCGTATTTGATCTTTTTGCTCGCTAATTGCTAGTTTTTTTTGTTATACGTAGAACCTCGAATTTGTTCAATAATGTGAAGATCTGAATAGATCATGTTTGTGTTGTTTTGTTGAAATGTTGTCGAAATATTAATATTTTGATGTAAAACCTTCAAACCTTTATCTTGCTGATCATCCTGATACCAACATCTAGCTATCAACCTGATATGAAACATTGCTATTTTGGTATTCATCATTATCTGAAAAAAGTGAGGACATATAATGCCATGGTTGACAATAGCTATGCAAGTGCATAAATATCCACCATCACTCAATAACACTACATAATGTTTGTAAACTGCCATTAAATCTATAACCTCCCATATTTCAACAACTTCACTTGAATCAATATCCTTTATTAAAGCCATAATAAAAATTTGTGGCCGATCAAGTTCATCTTCTAAGAAACCGTTATCATAATCCAATTGTGTGTTTTCCTGACAAAAGAAAATTTTAAAGTTTAATATCTTAAATGATTAATAGAGCTATAGGCATAAAGGTGTAATACTAAAACATAAAGCGACTAATATAAAAACATAAGTAAATGCTATATTAAATAATTATTAACACAAATTCCTGCCAAACCCTAATAAAAAAAAGTAATTAACCTGTAATACTTGAATATCATCCTTTTGTTGTAACTGTGCTCTATATAAAAGAGATCCTATGACTTGTTGTTGTTGCACAGCTAAAATATGAGGTGTTATATATAAACTTAATATCTCAACAACTTTCTGAAATACGGATTTGGTGATTGATGGTACTTGATTAGTAGGAACTGAATTCAGGTAGCTATTATGTCTTGCCCACTTAGCCTCATTATCCAAGAGATTTTGAATGTGGTCATAAAGATTACGCAATGAAGAAGTACCTTTTACACCTTCTTTAAGTAATTTATTCATCACTTCGACGCGCTGAGTACTTTGAACTCCAGCTATAAAGAACTTTAATTGATAATACCGAGCCCATAATTTAACACACCCTGTAATATCCTGTTAAAATAATCTTGTGTCTGTGGATATTTTTCTAACAAACATGACCATCACCTATAAAAGTCATTTTCAAATATGCTATTTTGTGCATGTAAAAACTCTTTATAAAATTCATCAAATTGTTTTCCAAGTTTATCCTGCAAATTTTTATGAATGTTCTCCTGTATATGAAAAATGCAGAGAAAATGGTGTGTGGTAGGTAATTTAAAGGAAATTGCACTACTTAACGCAAGGTTAGCATTAGAAAATAAAACTACTGGTGGTATGTTATGTGTTGCTTTCATAAGACATTCAAGGAACCATTCATAAGATTCGATAGTTTCATCTTTAGATAATGCTTGAGCAACTAACCGGGTTCTGGTATTATTATCAATTACTACTAAAAGTGTAAGATACATGTTAAACCAATTTGTTTGACATGTATTGTCTGTTTGAACAATATCATTATAATGGATTAGAATTTGTTGTTGTATTGGAGATATTCAAAATAATCCTGTTAACCTATTATCATATGGGTCCATACGAATATTAACAATCTAACCTGAATCCTGGTTCTTTAGCTGCAACAGATGTTCAATGAAACTTTGTGCTTCCCTATGCCGTTGAGTAGATGTTATTCGAAACTTTTGAATAGCATTATAAAGATCGTGTTTATAGATTGTATGATCAGGAAATTTCGCAGTCAAAAGTGGTAAGATTTGCTTAGATCCTATATTTCTCTTAGTGACATAAAACTCTATTGACTCCATGATCTCTGTAGATAGCTTCCTATACTTTGGGTCATATAACATGGCATCTGGCTATATTTTATAGTTGTGCTCGTCTACTATACTCGTAACAAGAATCACCAGAGATAACTTTGGTTTTGATAAATTCACATGCCATGTATATGAAACTTTTTTTGAATTTCTATTACGTTGCTGAGAAAGATCAACAACTTTATTACTAATAGGCTCTCCAGAATATGAGCATTCAAACGTATGTTATCTAACTTCACTATCATTGTTGATTATTACTCTTTTCTGATGTAATGAAAAACTAGCGGCTTTAGCATAACTGTTGAAATGTGCTTCAGCTAAGTCCTATGATGTATAAAAAACACCTACTGAGAGTTGATCTAATTCTACAACATCTGCATTTCCCAATTCTACAACATCTGCATTTTCTGATTCTATATCTTCTGCATTCTCTAATTCTACATGTTCCGCATTTTCTAAGTCTACATCTTCCACATTCTCTAATTCCACATTTTTGAAATTGATCAAAGAGCTACTTACAGGCTCTAAAAAACTTTTACCTGAGGCTTCAAAAAAAAAAAAAAAAATTAAAAGCAGTCAAAATTAATGTTTTGAGTATTCTATAAATAATGAATAATTTTATTGTTAATTCACCTTCCATAAGTTCCTTTCCAAATGCTTTTGTTAGAGAAAATATTGCAATAAAGGAAACATGATAGCACAAGTAATACATCAACACAAAAATAAAAAAATTATAAAGACAAAAAGCGCACAAGAAAAAAACTGCGAGAACGAAATAGAATACAAGCGTCACTAAAGAATTCAAAAAGAAAATGCAATGGCAAAAGAAGAGCGACCAAAAGAAAAGTGATGGTAAAAAGAAAGTGACGGCAAAAGGAAAGTGACGACAAAAGAAAAGTGATGGCAAAAAAATATGACAATAAATGAATCACGATAATAAATAGCATGACAGTAAAAGAAGCACGTTTGTAAAAGAGGCATAGCAATGATAAAGAAACACAGCTACAAAAAAGTACGACAGAAAAGAAGCACCACTAAAAGCGTGACGGCAAAAAAGTACAGCAGTAAAAAGTGTGATACAAAAGAAATATGGTTGCAAAATAGTATATAATGGCGAAAAAAGTGTACTAGATCAGTATTTGTAAAGGTAAATTTTAAGTTGTTGTGTAAAGTTCTATTCTAACGAATTTTAATTAACAGTTAAGTGAAATTCTATATACGTACTGTACGTATATATGATGTGAAATTATTTAATTAGCATGTGTAACTATAGTGATGGTCACCATGGGTTATTTTAATAATATTTCTATTTTAAAATATTTTAAATTATTTTGAAATTATTTTGTAATATATTGTGTAATATTTTGTAATATTTTTATATAATATTCTGTAATTGATTATTGTGCAATATTACATATCAATTGTAATTCTTATGCAATATTATAGGCTATAATATTTTATATAAAATTATATTTATATATTTTGCTAATATAGAAACTATATTAAAATTAGTTATAAAACTTTGATTAAATATATTTTGACAACCAATTGATCAAATTTAATAATTTTTTTTTTATTTGAATTCTAAAGTTTTGTAGAATTCAAATAAAAAAATTTTCATCAAATTTGATTGATTGGTTGCCAAGATATCTTCGATCAAAGTTTAAGAAAAATTTTAAAATAGATATTATATAGAAACTATATTAAAATTGGTTACAAAACTTTGATCAAATATATCTTGACAACCAATTGATCAAATTTGATAAAAATTTTTTTATTTGAATTCTACAGTTTTGTAGAATTCGAATAAAAAAATTTTTATCAAATTTGATTAATTGGTTGTTAAGATACTTTCGATCAAAGTTTAAGAAAAATTTTAAAATATATATTATCAGTCACATAATATATCACACTTAAGTTTTTGTATATATAAACTAACTACGCCAGGGCGTAGAATCGATTTTACTGTCACGTAATAGTCGGAAAACAAATGTTGTTAAGATAAAAACTTGGGTTAGAGCTTAGGTTAAGGTTGGGTTAAAGTTAAGAAGAACAAGAATATAACAAAATCGCACAAGGAAATTTTTTTGTTAGGACCCCAAAGATGGTTTACTAGACTAAATTTTGAGATAAATGCGACTTTTGCAAAGCGAACGTTTGTTTTGAATTTTTTCACGTTACACCTGATCCTGATCTTTGATTGGTTGATAGACGTTGGAAAATCATGTGACAGTAAAATCGATCCTACGCCCTGGCATAGTTATATAAACTTATAGCAAAAATATATAGAATTACATATAAACTTTGTTGTGATGATGTTTTTTCGTTTACATATTAACTTTAAATTAAATTTTACAAATAAATATATCAAGAAAAAGCAAAAAAAACATGTTTTAGACCAAATAAAAATATTACAATTTTGATATAATTTAAAAATATAACTTTGTCAAAAGAAAAAAGTTAGCAGATTTAAAGTAAGAATTATATGTAAAATTATATTCTGAACAACTTCAATCTAGATAACCAAAAAGGTTATCTTAATAAAAAAAAGTTTTTTATATACTAATGCACGTATGGATTCTGTACCAGGTTATATCGATCATTGCTAATCATTTATCACATGATGATGTTCGGGTAACAAAATGTGCATAATTCAGTTAGAACTTATTCTAACATATACTATATATATCGAAATATTTTTTTTTTAAATACTAATATTATAATCGGTAAAGACTCAATACGTACGTAATTTATAATCAGACATTTCAATACTAATATTCTTCAAGATTCAAATATCGGTATATTTGCATGTCAAAGAGCAAATAACAAAATAATCATGATTTTATTATTGATTTTGCATAGTAACTAATATTATAATATAACGGTATATATAATTATAATAGAAATTGCAAATATAAGAATAAATACATTACTGTATTGTTCAAAATTAAATCAGAATTGGGCCTTTTCAAAGTGAATTTACTAGTAGATTTGTAGGTATGAATTTTGTATTATGTATTAACCTATGCGCGTGTACTAACTTGGAAGTAAAATAAAAAATATATTATGGGAGCTTCTAAATTTATTCTATCGCATAATATATTTTTTATTTTACTTTCAAGTTAGTGCACGCGCATAGGTTAATACAATACATTATAATACAAAATTCATACCTACAAATCTACTAGTAAATTCACTTTGAAAAGGCCCATTGTAAAGCGCTTGAAATTATTAAATGCTTCTACGTATCACCCGATTCTTAACAATAAATATATTTATACATACGTATAAATTCTGTAATAAGCATTAATTTAAATATTTTTATATAAGAATAGTAATTATGTGCAGTTAAGAAATAAAGGGCCTTTTTAATTTGTAGCTATAGTAACTTTGTAACATGTATTGTACTCTTATTATATTCACAAACTACAGGTTGTAACCACTACGTAGTAACACTTACATGTATTTAATCTGATGATAATAAATATATAGTTGTGTATGGCTTTATAATTGATTGAAATACTAATAGCACAACACGAATACGTGTTATGAAATTACTATCGCTATAGTTACAAACTAAAAAGGCTCAAATTAAATTATTTTAAAATTTTAAAAGGGATCATTATCAATTACCAAATGATATGTTCATTAAGGCGTACAAAAAATTTATCGGCATCTATATAAGAAAATATTTAAATTTACACTCAATTGTAGTAAACTAAAGAATAAACTTTATATTTCTTTAGAATCTTATTGTTGACCATACTAAATGTGCTGTTTTCAAATATTATTATAGTGTTTGAATATGTAATTCATATATTCATTTGATCTAAAATTATTCAGTAAATTGCATCTACCTTGTGTTTACTATTAACTACATAGAATGACTTTGTAAAAACAATATTTATAAACATGTTTTCAATTCAATTTATTTTTGTTCATATTTTGACTAAGATTGTGCCTCTTTTTACCAATTGCTCTAACTTTGCATGCTGAAATAACATGAGAATCATTATCATGGTTTTCTTTATCACCAGATTTCTTTATACTTGATTCAGTTTTTCTATGTTTGACTGATTCAACTTGTACACAAATTTTAGCACCACTCTTTACGCGCCCAAGTAGGTCCGAATTACGATTCACGTTATAGAGAAAGGATGTTAACACCAGGATAAACTTAGCTTTTGCTGCATTGTATCTCTCAGCCAATTTCTCAAGGGCTGCTCGAAGTTGTGGTCTACAATGTTCGTAATCATCCTTTATTGTTTTAAGAAATGTATCGAAGAACTCTTGATTATATCTTTATTTAATAAAAAAAAGGGTTATATAGACAATTCTTTAATCAAAAATCCAAAAGTACTTGTATAAACCCAAAAAAAAAACCTACATATCAGTTGCTGCATTCACATTCGCATTTATTTTCACATTTACATCCATATTTGCATCTATATTCACACCTGCATTCACATCCACATTCGCATGATTATACCTTTATTAAATAAAAGGGTTATATAGATAAT